AAAGAGAAACTCTGATGCTATTAACACTAATACATTGTTCCATCTATGCATCTTTCTGGGTAAAGGAAAAAAAAAAGATGAACTGTCCTACTTCAGGTTATTCTCTGTCTCTCACAAGGGATATTTGTGACTGGCAAGTAAAATCAGAGCTGCCAGAAAAAAACACATTCATAGCACAGGCTTCTACAAAGTACAGATACATGTGGTTGAAGCAGATGAAATTCATGTTTTGTCAAGGTCAGAAATATGAAATAGCTGAATACTTACTATTTTATCTGGTTCAAACTAATATATTTTAAGAGATTCATTCATTTCCAGGGTATTTCCAGACAGAAGAATGAAACTCTTCATTTAAACACCTCTGTCTTCTACTCCCTAAAACTACAGAGTGGCCACGTCCCTTTTCTGCACCTAAAGATAGTGAACTGAGGAAAAGGGTTGGGTATCAGGGACTTCCATAAGGGAAGGTTCTCCCATTCCCTCCACCAGAGAGGAGGAAGAATCCAGTTCCTTCTTGATAGCACTTCCCATAGTGCACTCATGCTTTCTGGAGACGTGTAATTGCAGGCAATTAATTATAATTTAATAACCATGACCCTGGGATAAAGATTTAGGGATTTAACCGCAAGAGAAACAGATGAAATGCTTACAAACACTCCTTCAAAATCTCTCTTACTTCTGACCCAAATAAAAGTTGTTTTCATCTCCTTTATGCCCACCACCTGCTTGAGAAAAATGAGAAGTAGGAAGCGTCATTACCTACCGGATAAATATTTCCTTTTACAAGATAACATTTTTCAGGCTTCAAGAGCAGGTAATCTCCTCGGAATGGTACAATTCGAGGATCAGAAGGGCAGCCACTCAACTCTGAAATACGGTCTGAGTAAAGTCCTGCACAAGTCACAACATACTGACATCGAATTTCTTCTCCCTAGTGCAAAATAAAAGAACAGTTATTTGTATAAAGTAGAGAGGAGCAGAATAGGTCAAGAGTGGAAAAACAGGTGATAGAAAAGAAAAAATGTAGAGAAATTCAATTTTTTCTAAAAGAGTATATTCAATACAGGTTTTAGCAAAATATGTTCTTTAGCATTTAGGTGGCAGCTAGAAACTAAGGACAGTGGCATGTAAGAGGATGTCACCTTAAATTTTGTACTTTAGCAATAATAATGGTCGACCTAGTAAGGATACATCATAAGGTACACATGCATGCACACAAATACATACAAATCTGTTTATTAGGACCTAGTCTCTTAACTATTTGTTACGCAAAGATGCAAACATCATTTAGATAGCCTCCACCAATTTTTGGTTTTTTTTTTGCTCTCCAACCCAACCCACAGCTTTTAATTTGGATTAATAAAAAAATTCAATATACCAATCACAAACATGGGGATTTACCCAAGAAGTGGAATATCAAGGAAGACAAAACTTCCTACATGAAAAACATAAGCATGTAAAATCGTTTTTAAAAATAAAGTTGTTACCTATTAATATAGATGACATCTATAACATCTCTGGCACTGAAGTTAAAGGGTCTGTAAGCCTCTCATTAAAAGGCAACCTCTGTACTGCAACCAGCTTCTCCTGTATTTGAGCAATTACCCTGTTATTCTTCAGTTGCTTCACACTCAATAATCCTGCTCAATTGCAACTGTAACCTACCCACCAACAAATTTCTCCTTCCTGATCAGTATCTACTTTGCAAACTGAGGATACTTTAGAAATCTCATTCATTCAATCCACATTTACTGACAGCACATACTACATACTAGGTTTGCTTTAGTGAGTAAGAGACTTGCTAATGTTAGGCTGTTATAATTTCCTATAAATTTTATTTTGTGATTATCATCTGCTTATTTTTAATTTTACTCGTCAAGTTTAGCCAATTTGGTACCGTATTTCCTAAATGACTTCATTTATCCTGCATTCACCACCATACTCGAATTCCCATCTCTTTACTTCTCACAACACCTAGCAACTGTTCTTATTCTTAGATCTTCTTCCCAGATGACCTATTTTTGAAGCCTCAGAGTTCTCAGTTGACTCACCATTTTTTTTCTTTCCAGGCCTTACTATTTAGCCTTATTGTATTGAGCTAAATTTTCAACTCTGTATGGATCCTATTTTTGCCCTAGCTAGAAAGTTAAGCCTCTTTTCAGGAGTTATACATGTCATATTTTTTACAAAAATCCAATGAAACATCTCCACAGTGAATTCAAATTAGCTTGACTAAGCCACTGATCATTTTAAGACCTTTAAAGTCAAAAGGGCTGTCTAGGTCTTGCTCTGTCACCCAGGCTGGAGCACAATGGAGCAGTTCTGGCTCACTACGGCCTCAATTGACCTCTTGGGTTCAAGTGATTTTCCTGCCTAAGCGAGTAACTGGAACTACAGGCATGAGCCACCACACCCAGACAAAAACACCTTCTTCTAAATAGGTTAATATCTTTCCTGTTCACCTAGAGTTATATACCAGAAATATGAGAAGTATTTTTGTGATACAAATCATTAGTTCCTACATAAAAGATTGGTAGTTCCTTTGTTCTTGGAATAAAATAATGCAGATAAGTCCTATGATAGATGTAAAGATAATAACAGAATTTATAAGATAGTACCAGCATGCAATAACCTAACAGTTCTCTTTAAAAGCTTAAGCAACAGTTCCGAAAAAGAAATTATCAAAAACTATCACAGGTCTCTGAAATTATTTTATGCTACATGTGAAACAATAATTAAATTCAGCAACATATTAGGTAACCTTCAAATGATACATCAGTTCAACATAAATTTCTTTTAGGCTGGGTACAGTGGCTCACTCCTGTAGCCCCAACACTTTGGGAGGCCAAAGTGGGAGGATCACTTGAGCCCAGGAGTTGGAGACCAGCCTGGGCAACATAAAGAGACCTTGTCTCCGTAAGTTTTATTAGAGATAAAGACTCTAATTTAAAAAAAAAAAAAAAAAAAAAAAATTTTAAGAAGGCAAAAACAAACCATGCATGTCTATTGCTCTTTCATAAGTGAAGCAGATTTTTCCCCCATATCCAATGTATAAGTCTTTAATTAGCAAATCCTCCCTGCAAAAAAATTATTTTAAAAATCCCCTGCCAGGCGCAGTGGCTCACACCTGTAATCCCAGCACTCTGGGAGGCTGAGATGGGTAGATCATTTGGGGCCAGGAGTTCAAGACCAGCCTGGCCAAATGGCAAAGCCCTGTCTCTACTAAAAATGCAAAAATTAACCAAGCATGGTGAGACATACCTGTAATCCCAGCAACTTATGTTGCTGAGGCACAACAATCACTTTAATCTGGGAGGTGGAGCTTGCAGAGAGCCAAGATCATGCCTCTGCACTCCAGCCTGGGCAACAGAGTGAGATTGTCTCAAAAAGAAAAAATTCCTTTTAACTTTTCATAAAGCCATTTCAACCTGGTAAGTGGACCCCCCAATTTAAATTTGAACCCCAACACTATACTTAAAATGCCAAAATAAAGAACAGCAACTATCCTAACTCTGGGTAACGTACATATCCACTGGTATGTCATAGGCCCCTGTATATATTCTATCATATAATACTATAGTGAAAATGTCCCTTAGATGAAGGCAGGCACAGAAACAGAATTTTAATTCTTCTTTGAATGGAAAGCCTACCACTTGGGTCACGTGACCCAGCAAATCTGATGGTCATCGAAGTGTCTGCAGCAGACAGTCATGCTTTATAGAGCCCTTGGCAGGCACCTGTAGGCAAATCATACTACAGAACTTTAGGGTTTTTAGAGGAAAGTTATACCATCCTCTGCAGATAACTATCCTCCTTTTGAGAAAGTGCTTTTAGCTTTGACTGAACACTTGACTACAGGTCATTAAGTTGCCATATGAACTACCCATTATTAACTGGGTATTGCTATCTGACTCATCAAGCAACAAAATTGGGTGTGTACAGCAGCATTCCATCATCAAGAATTATAAGGGTTGTACAGGTCCTGCTGGCACAAGTAAGCTGCAGAGGCAAGTGGTTCAAATTCCCATGGTCCCTACTCCTGCTAAATTGCCTCCTTCCTATCAACTTGCCTCTGTGGCCTCACAGGGAGTTCTCTATGACCAGTTGGCCAAGGAAGAAAAAATAAAGGCCAGGTTTACAAATGGTTCTGCACGATATTCTGATACCACACAAAAGTGATCAGCCACAGCACCAGAGCCCCACTCATGCGTGTCCCTGAAAGACTGTGGTGAAGGAAAATATTCTGAGTGGGCAGATCTCTGAACACTATACCTGGTTGTTTATCTTACTTTAGAAGGACAGATGGCCAGAGGTATGGATCTACACTGTTTCCTGTGCAACAACTAATGGTTTGGCTGGATGGACAGGGAAAGGACCTCTGGAGAAAGGTATATGAATGGACCACTCCAAATAGCTTCAGAGAGTAAAGACATTTGAGTTCCATATGAATGCTCACTGAAAAATAACCTTGGCCAAGGCTGACTTTAATAATCAGTAGAAAAAGATGACCTGCTCTGTGGATGTTAGTCTCTTTCTCTAGGCACCCGTCTTTACCTGATGGCATCATGAACTAAATGATTAGGCATAAAGATAGTCTCCAATAAATGGTGTTGGGAAAACTGGATATATCCATGCAAAAGAATGAAACTGGACTCCTATCTTACATCATTCACAAAAATTAACTTGAACTGGACTAAATATTAAAATTAAAAGATTAAAGATTTTAGATAAAAAACTAAGACTCTTGGAAGAAAACATAGGTGAGACATTGGTCTTAGCAATGATTTTTTTTTTTTTTTGATAGGGCATCAAAAGCACAGGCAACAAAAGCAAAAATAAACAAGTGGGACTATATCAAACTAAAAAGCTTCTGTACAGCAAAAAAAAAAAAAAACAAAGGCAACAAAAGCAAAAATAAACAAGTGGGACTATATCAAACTAAAAAGCTTCTGTACAGCAAAAAAAAAAAATGACAACAATAAAAAGACAGCCTACAGATTGGAGAAAATATTTGCAAACCATACATCTGATAACAGGTTAATATCCAAAATACATAAAAAACTCATATAACTCAAAAGCAAAAGAACAAATAAGCTGATTAAAAAATGGGCAAAGAAGCTGCGCATGGCAGCACGTGCCTATAATCCCACTACTTGGGAGGCTGAGGCAGGAGGACAGCTTGAGCCCAGGAGTTTGAGGCTGCAGTGGGCCATGATCATGCCAGTGGACTTCAGCCAGGGTGATAGAGACCCTGTCTAAAAAAAAGGTGGGGGAGGGAAGGACCTGAATATACATTTTTATGTTTTTTTTTTTTCAAAAAAGATATACAGATAGCCAACAGATACATGTAAAGGTGTTCAAATCACTAATCATCAGGAAAATCAAAACCACAGTAAGATATTATCTCACATCTGTCAGGATGTCTATTATCAAAAAGACAAAAGAAAACAAGCATTGGTAAGGATGATGGGAATGTAAATTGGACAGCCATCATGGGAAATGGCATGGATGTTCCTTGAAAAATTAAAAATAGAACTACCATATGAGCCAAATTAAAAACAGAACTACCATATAATTTCCTCTGGGTATACACCCAAAGAAAACAAAACCAGTAGTACCTCAAGGAGATACCTGCATTTCACATTCATTGCAGCGTTATTCACAACAGCCAAAACATGAGAACAACATAAAAGTCCACTGACAGATGAATGGATAAAGAAAAGGTCATCTATATACACAATGTAATACTATTCAGCCATAAAAAGGAGGAAATCCTGCCATTTGTGACAACATGGATGAGTGTGGAAGATACTGTGCTAAGTGAAATAAGCCAGACAGTGAAAGACAAATATTGTATGATCTCAATTACATGTGGGATGTAAAAAGTTGAACTTATTGGCTGGGGATGGTGGCTCACACCTGTAATTCCAGCACTTTGGGAGGCTGAGGTGAGTAGATCATGAGGTCAGGAGTTCGAGATCAGCCTGCCCAACATAGGAAAACCCCGCCTCTACTGAAAATACAAAAAATTAGCTGGGCATGGTGGTGGACACCTGTAATCCCAGCTACTCGAGAGGCTGAGGCAGGAGAATCACCTGAACCAGGGAGGCAGAGGTTGCAGTGAGCTGAGATGGTGCCACTGCACTTCAGCCTGGGTGACGAGCAAAATGCCATCTCAAGAAACAAGAAACAATAAAAAAAAAACAAAACAAAAAATCCATGTTGAACTCATAGAAAAAGAGAGTACAATGATGGTTGCTAGGGACTGGGAGGGTGGTGGGCTGGAATGGGATGATATTAGTCAAAGGGTACAAACTTTCAGTTATAGGATGAATAAGTTCTAGAAATCTAATATACAGCATGGTGACTGTAGGTAATGATACTGTATGGTATATTACTAAGATAGCAAATCTAAGTGTTCTCATCACACACACATAAATTGTGACTATGTGAGGTGACAGATGTGACATCAAATAACTTGACTGTGATAATCATTTCACAATGTAAACATAAAGCTGGAAAAAATAGTTATGGTAGCAAGGATGGAGGTGATGCATAGGCTTGGCAACATGGACTTACTCACCAAGGCTGATCTGTCTACAGCTACTACTGAGTGCTCAATCTGCCAATAGAAGAGATCAACAGAGCCACTGATATGGTCCCTAGACCACTTTCATCACAGAAAAGGCAGCACTTATTTCTTACTGGAACAGATATTTGCTCTGAACATATATTCGTCTTCCCTGCCTATAATGCTTCTGCCAAAGTCACCATGTGTGAACTTATGAGATGTTTTATTCACCATCATGGTATTTTACACAGAAGCATTACTTCTGATCAATGAACTTACTCTGTAGCAAATGAAATGCAGCTATAGGCTCAGACGCATGGTAAAAAAAGTGAATGGTAAAATTCACTGATTTTACCATTTTCCTCAACACCCTGAAGCCACAGGTGACAGAAACTGAAATGGGCTTTAGAAGTAATAGCACTAGCTGGCTGGCAATTCCTTGCAGGGCTGAGGCAATGTCCTCCAGGATGCTCTGTGTGCTGTAAATCAATGATTAATATATGGTATTGTTTCTCCCATAGCCAGAATTCACAGGTCTGAAAACTGAGGTAGAAATGAGAGTGGTTCCTTACTATTACCCTGATGATCCACTACTTGAAATTTTTGCACTCTATCCCCACAAGTTTAGTCTTATTAACTAGTGTTCTTAGTTCCCAAGGGAGAAATACTTCCATTAGAGAATGAACAGTGGTTCCATTAAGCTGGAATTTGATACTGCAACACCTGGCCACTTTCGCCACCTTGGCCTCCCAAAGTGCTGGGATTACAGGCGTGAGCCACAGTGCCCTTACCAGTAAATCAAAGAGGAGACTGCTGTACTGAATTGGTTAACTAATCCTGACTCTCAAGAAAATAGAGTTGCTACCACAACTAGGCTTGGAGATGATAAACAGGAATATGCCTGGAATACATATCGCCTGAAGCTTCCCTTAGTATTCCCATATCCTGCTATAAAAGCTACTGAAAACTACCTTGACCCAGAACAGCCAGGGCTGCTAATGGCACAGACTTCAGGAATGAAAGTTTGAGCTACACCCCCAAACTGGAAACCATGACCAGCTGAGATGCTTGCCAAACGCAAAGAGAATATGAAATGAATAGCAGGGGGAAAGAAATTATAAATATTGGCTGCGGCCACACAGTTACAGAAACGAGGGATGTTATAATCTGAGTAGTTATTTACTTTAAAATAATAAATGTATTTGTCTATACATTACCTAATTCATTCTTTATTCCCATTGCTACAGACTGAATTGTGCCCCCCCAGCCCCAATTCATATGTTGAAGCCCCAACCTTTGATGTGAACTATATTTGGAGATAGGGCCTTTAGGGAGGTAATTAAGGTTAAATTAGGTCATAAGGGTAGGGACTAATCCAATATGACTGGTATCCTTTTTTTTTTTTTTTTTTTTTTTTTTTTGAGACGGAGTTTCGCTCTTGTTACCCAGGCTGGAGTGCAATGGCGCGATCTCGGCTCACCGCAACCTCCGCCTCCTGGGTTCAGGCAATTCTCCTGGGATTACAGGCACACACCACCATGCCCAGCTAATTTTTTGTATTTTTAGTAGAGACGGGGTTTCACCATGTTGACCAGGATGGTCTCGATCTCTTGACCTCGTGATCCACCCGCCTTGGCCTCCCAAAGTGCTGGGATTACAGGCGTGAGCCACCGCGCCCGGCCAATGACTGGTATCCTTATAAGAGGAAGAGATACCCAAGATTATGCTTTCTCTTTCTAGGCAGACACAGAGAAGAGGCCATGTGAGGACATAGTAAGAAGACAGCCATTAACAAGCCAGAAATCAACCCTACCAGCACCTTAATCTTGGACTTCTAGCCTCCAGAACTGTGGGCTACTCATTTTGTGCTATTTTGTTATGCAGTCTGAGAAGATTAATACACTCATCTCTACCATTCCTGCGTTATCTAACACAGGGTTTCTCTACCTCAGTACTACTGACTTTGGGCTAGACATTTCTTTGTTTTGGAGGTCTGTTCCCCACACTGAAGGATGTTTAGCAATATTCCTGGTATCTACCCACCGAATCACAGTACCTGTGCCCCTCCCCGCTCCCAGTTGTGAGAATCAAAAACGTTGGGGTTGAGCGCTCACACCTATAATCCCAGCACTTTGGGAGGCTGAGGTGGATGGATCACCTGAGTTCGGGAGTTCAAGACCAGCCTGAACAACATGGAGAAATCCCGTCTCTATTAAAAATACAAAATTAGCTGAGTGTGATGGTGCATGCCTATAATCCCAACTACTAGCAAGGCTGAGGCAAGGTAATCACTTGAACCCGGGAGGTGGAGGTTGGGGTGAACTGAGATTACGCCATTGCACTCCAGCCTGGGCAACAACAGTGAAACTCTGATTCAAGAAAATAAAATAAAATGCCTCCAAACATTGCCAAATGCTCCCTAAGAAGCAAAACTGCTTCAAGTTGAGAACTACTAATCTAAGATGCTTAAATAGTGGTTAACCTTGTATCTTAGCATTTAAGTTACAGGATCTCAAAGGGGGTGTGTAACTCAACTAGAAAAAATTAAACATAATCCAGGATGGATAAAGTAGACTTTGTAACTTTTTTTGAAACGGAGTCTCGTGCTGTCACCAGGCTGGCGTGATCTCGGCTCACTACAACCTCTGCCTCTCGGGTTCAAGCCATTCTCCTGCCTCAGCCTCCCAAGTAGCTGGGACTACAGGCGCGCACCACCACATCCAGCTAATTTTTTTGTATTTTTAGTAGAGACAGGGTTTCACCATGTTGGCCAGGATGGATGTAATCTCCTAACCTCACGATCTGTCTGCCTCGGCCTCCCAAAGTGCTGGGATTATAGGCGTGAGCCACCGCACCCAGCCCAATTTTGTATATTTTTTGAGAGTTAATTAGCATGTCTTCAGTCCTATGAAGGACAGTTATACCTTGTTAGGTGGAAGCATACTTTTACTACTGTCTTTATTTGGAAGCTAATATGCTTCTAAAGTTTTAAGAGGAATGGACAGATGTCAGGTTGACAAAGCGTAGACTATAGGGATTTGTACTGGGTCCATTTGGTTAAGCTGGGAACTATGCTCGACAGAATCCCCTTCTCTTCATGGTTCCAACTTAAAAGTTGATGAAAACAGGAGCTGCATATAATCTGGTGGCAAAAGTAAGTCAGCAGGCATTATTCTCTGAAGGTCATCCTAGTCCAATGAGGTGACAAAGAGACACCCATTGTCCAGTGAATTCCAGCTTCATGTTCAAGTCTGTTTCCCAATTACTGATCTGTCATCTTTCTTCTGATTCTCTGCTTCTCCAGAAACTTCCACAATTGTGTAAGGTCTTACTCCTATAATAAATTCTATAGCAGTCATTAATGACTCTGCTCCCTTGCGTACAACCTAATGCAGCGAACCTACAGGGAATCCACTGCTTCTATGACATTCTGCGGTTCTTGCTTCAGGTCTATATGAAGATGAAAGAAAGCAGTCCATCTCCTTCTGTACAACCTGCATACTCTAACAAAGTCTTCTAATTTATAGAGTTAATAAGTTAGTAGAGCTCAGTAGGCAGAGTGATAAAATATCTATCAGTTTTGCCCTAAAATTAAATACTCCATATGCTTATAATCTTGTTCTTTGCCAGCACAGCCACTTTATGAGGACATTCTCAAGTTCAAACTCTCCTTAAAAGCTGTTAAACGGCCCTAAAATAAATTCTCTCATTACTTTTATATCAGACAAATGTCATTCAATAACATAAAATACAGCACTGTGAATTAATTTAACTTTTAAGAAAGGGGAGGGAAAGAAAGTAACCAGCAGTTTTGCTTAAGAATCTTTACCTTTGTATTCTTTATAACAATCAGATATTTCATTCCTGAAAAAAAGAATAAGTAAAACATTTATTTTTAGGCCAATATGATTTGAAATATTATACTGGTAACAAATTTAAATAATTTTTTCCTGTCATTACTATGATTGCACCTTACAGTTCACTCTGAAACGTTTTACCAAATAATGATTAAATACATCCATACTTAACAATATATAAAACTCCAGCTGTTTTTAGCTTGATTTTAACTGATCTAAATGTATAAATCATTCTCCACCTAACCTCTAACATAGACATAGCTTTTCTCTGAACTATAATCCTGGAAATCACACTGTAAAATGGATCATGATAAATCAGTATGTATTTTCCCACAGAGCTAAAGCTATGATATGAGAAACCTTGTCTTCCAAGTGTTGCTTACTGGATTCCTTGCAGGTTCCATGTTTTCTAGAGAAGCAAGAGTTCTCGTAACACAAAAACTTCCAATAAAAAACTGACCATTTTTTAAATTAGTTCCCACTCAGATACATGGGCTCTCCAAGTTTTATAAAGCATACGTACAGCAGATGAAGAACACAATCTACTTGTATCATAAATTTATTATGCTGCCTACCTAAAGGAATCCTAATTATTTAACAATTTTGCTCATCATCTTAGAATTTGGAAAGACAGAATGATTCAGATAGCCTAGATCTCCTTAAAAACCTGTCAAAAGGTTGGGTGGGGTGGCTCACACCTGTTATCCCAGCACTTTGGGAGGCTGAGACTGGTGGATCATGAGGTCATTCTGGCCAACATGGTGAAACCGTGTCTCTACTAAAAATACAAAAAAGTTGGCCGAGCATGATGGTAGGTGCCTGTAATCCCAGCTACTTGGGAGGCTGAGGCAGGAGAATAGCTTGATCCTGGGAGGCGGCGGTTGTAGTGAGCTGAGATCGCATCACTGCACTCTAGCCTGGGCACCAGTGTGAGACTCCATCTCAAAAAAAAAAAAAAAAAAAAACTGTCAAGGTAGAAAGAACACTACTTTTTTTCTCCTTCAAATTTCTCAACAGAAAACAGAAGGCTCAAAAATCTATCATTTGGACAAAAAAAAAAAATTAATGCCCTCAAAGCAAAACAAAGCAAACTTTAAGTGCAGTCTGAAACTGTGGGGGTGAAGTGGGTGAGTTCCAAATGGCCAGGTCAATTTATGACCTTACAATGTCATTCTGACATTCTGAAACCTGGGTTTGTCTAAGAATCACTAAAGGCTTATTAGTAGGTGCTATTCCCAGACATTCTGACTCAGTAAGTCTGGGTGATACTAAAATTGGCATTTTGGGCCAGGAACAGTGGCTCATTCTTGTAATCCCAGCATTTTGGGAGGCCAAGATGGGCAGGTCTCTTGAGCTTGGGGGCTCAAGACTAGCACGGGCTGGGCTGGCGGGCGCAGTGGCTCATGTATGTAATTCTAGCACTTTGGGAGACCGAGGTGGGTGGATCATGAGGTCAGGAGATTGAGACTACCCTGGCTGACACGGTGAAATCTGGTCTCTGCTAAAAATACAAAAAATTAGCAGGGTATGGTGCCACGCACCTATAGTCCCAGCTACTTGGGAGGCTGAGGCAGGAGAATTGCTTGAACCCAGGAGGCGGTGGCTGCAGTGAGCCAAGGTTGTGCCAATGCACTCCAGCCTGGGCAACAAGACCAAAACTCCATCCCAAAAAACAAAACAAAACAAAACAAACCCATGAAAACAAACAAACAAAAAAATACCAACCTCAGCCTAGATGGTTTTACTGAAAAATTCTATCAAATTTTTAAAAAAGAATTAACACTGGTTTTATACAATCC